CGAACATTCAATGGTCTGCTAACAGTATAAAGGCCCTGACTCAGTCGAAGTGACAAACGTGGTCTCCTTGGTCGGGATCCCAGGACTAGGTGCACCCATGCTTAATGACACCGACAGGCGAGTTTCAATCACGCGGTCTGTGGTGCTCTTACAGCAAGCTATTGTTTCCATGGAATAACTGACCGTTTCCCCTCTTCATTGCCCAACTGGAATGGTCTAACAACAGCTGATTGATTTGGTCATCGCCTTTAATACCCGGCAGCATCTTCAATGATTACCAAATTTTTCTTGACCGAAACTCTAGCCGATGGAACATGGATTATGGCTGATAAACCGAAGTGGACTGATTCAACATGCCACAATCGGACCTTTCTGTTTCGGTATTTCCATTTTGAAAAAACGACGTCATCCGAGTTTTCCGACAGAACGAAGTCAACCTAGTAGTCAGTCTAGAAATGAACTTGCATCACACGAACCGAAATAGAGGACATCTCACCGAAATATGGGTTGAGGGAACCACGTTTCGATAAATGGGACTACACAACGCACCAATTACTTTACACAATACATTTGAAAGTTTAATTTTACTACTTATTGGAAACGGAGCACACTCTTGCATAACCTCGTCATAATAAGAAATCCTCATCTCCATAGGGGCCTATCCTGATCCATTACCTCCCACTTCGTTTATTCGCTGATCCCTGTGTACTTTAGTACTGAATTATGTCCAGCATTCCTTTCAATGGCAACCTCTTCAACAGGCAAATTGACTTTTAAATGTTATATTAACGGTCAGTAGGCAACCTTGTGTGGTTCATCAGTTCAGTCCTGCCGCTTTGAACTTAATAAAAAGGGGATGAAACAGTTCTTTCGGGGTCGTCTGCTAAGAATAGTTCAGAACCCTTTACAACACAGAGGTAACAACGCTGCTTGGATGGACATACTACCGGACGGTATTACAGTATCGGACGGAATTTTGTCAACTTACTTCCGTAGGATCGTGCATATAAGCCAACTCTGGTATTAATGCATTTTGGATGAAGGATCTGCATGTACCACACTGAAGGACCATCGGATTCAGCGTGAATGACACCATAGTAGTTGATAGCGAAACTGATACCCAACGGCTTGTCGTACGCCTATTTGCTCTCGCTATATTGCACACCCACGTTCACTTCTGTGAACGAATCGAAGAAATAAACGTGTGCGGTGTGTGAAGCCTAGATTAGCTAACATCAGGACGTCGAATTCCTTTTTTTGGATTTTGAATTCCAGGCACTTTTGGAGAAGTGTTCTCATTTGCCAATCAGCTTGATGTAAACGGAATATTTAACCGAACATCAATTGAACCCCTCGTTCATGATAAGTAGCAACTGGATAGGTTCACGAAGACCGCCACAACTTACTTTTGGAATGATATCAAATGTCTGTCTTCACACAGCACTAACTATAAGTTGATGGAACCTCTGACGCCTAGCTCTCACTTTCGTCTTACATCTGCCTGATGTGCCCCAAGAAGAGCGGAACATATGTTGGACTTTTGAAGAGTTTTCTTCAATCTGATTAATAGTGCTGTCATCAGCATCTTTGTTTTTTGGACTGGCTTGTCAGCTATTCCAAGTTCGCTGATTTTCCTGAAGGCACTGCCTCTGTAGCCCTTAAGTTTCATTAAAAACAGCCGATTAGTTGATAGTAAGCATCATCGTCGCTGTGAAATTGTGCAAAAAAGAATAATCAAATGGTGCAGTGCAACCTTCACCGGGCGATTTCATTCAGTCATCCACATCATAATAAATTTTCTGATTTTAAGCTGAACTAAGCTTAAAGTAACCTTATCGTCTCAGAGTAATGGTTCAAGGTGGTCTTCATTGCTGTCTAACTTGCCATGGCTTTCCTGGCGTTCACATGACAGATGGTGCACAAGTCACATGACTAACCGATTTGAACCGACCGCAGTCGATGGGCAAAAGAGCATCCGCCAGCCACATTGTGTGTGCCCTCAGCTACCCCACACACGATTAGGTACACCCAGAACACTATGCTGAAAGAACGGCGCAGTGCATCCAACATCTCCATTTCTGTTTCATCGAAGACTCCTTCGTCGGGGACTGGGCCGTCGGGTACCGAAGAAAAGAGCGCTCGCTCAAGGAGTGCACCTCCGGATTTTCGTGTAAATCCGAATTATGACCGTCTACTTGAAGCATTTCAACATTACTATACGTCACTTCCAATCACCCTAAATGCGGAAGACAGTCCGGCTGTCATGATGGATTTTTACAAGACAATAAAGTCCATGCCAAAATATCTGATCGCCCCTGATGGTGAGTTGTATCTAAAACTTATCCGGTCGACGAATTAATCAGTTGATAGTTCGACAACGGGTGTACATTCTTGATGGGTGGTAAATCGGCGCATTATAAAATCACCGCATGTATTGGTCTGGATGCCGCGTACATTTTCATGATGAATATGGTTGTCTCCTAATTTAATCACTAGAATTTCCTACATCGTTGTTGTAATGAGTAAAAGTTCCCACTTCCCCAAACAAACACTCGAATCCATTCTCAAAATGCATATCAATTATTCCTTTCTTCGTGACATTGTTGCTCTGTGCGTCGACTGTGCCTCTCGACTTTCTCTGTCTAGGCCTGGGCAACCTGGCAGTATCCCAGCACCTCGTGCAACCTTCGGGTGGCACAGCAGCATGGCACCGAAAGGTGCTACAGCTGAACGATTATTTTATTATCTGTGCGTCGTTTTATAAAATCCTGGAATGAGTAACAGTTACTCACTATGGAGAAGTAAATTTGCCCATGTTTTCACTCCTAACTTACATGCAGGAGTGGCGTAAACAGAGAGGTGGCCAACCCTTGGCTTGGCAGGGGAGTATGAAGGAGATCACGAAACGCTTGGGTGCTGTCGGTGCTACTCGCCTTCCAGGATGAGGATCGCGTGATCCTCACTGTGCCTGGTTGGTGACACTACAAGATATGGCTGGCAACCGATGTCAGTGGCGTTCTTGTTGTCAGTTTCTGTCCAGATTGCCTGAGTGAATGTCTGGAGGTGTAGGCACCTCGGAATGATTGTGTTAAGCTAGCACTAAGTCCCTCCCCCATCCACCTTTATTCTTTTTTTTACAATAAGGCTTTCAAATAAGTCATGGTTGTACGGCAGTGAAGCATCGGTGTTGAACACTGATGTCATGCTGTCGATGATGATCATGATGCAGGAAAAGCGGTCAGATGATCTTTTCCACCCACGCAAATGTCAGGATACAAAGACCATGACCTGTCATTTGTCTATTTTCGCAGCTTGACTACATTCTCAAGCTGTTGAGTAATCCAGTTCGGCTAGATCCAACAACTCCATATTTATTGCGCCTGTGAAGCACGGTCGAAAGTGATACTCAAGACATACTTCTGATTTCCAGGAAGTAGGAGTGCCAGCACAAAGGACAAAAGAGTATTTTGGGAGTAGATCTACTCGCCAAGGTATTCCCTTTATTAATATTATTAGTACTATTATTATTATTAGAAGTCTCATAAACAAGCAAATGAACTCCATCACAAATAGCTATAACTGGGCATTTGTCATGCACAGTCTCACTATAATACAGTAAGGTGGCCCTCCCACCTATAAATAATTCTTATATATTCGTTACTCTGCTCCAGATAACCCTATTGCTAACAGGTGGTCAAATTTTTCCACGTGCAGTACCTCTAGACTACGAACCTACAGTCTGCAGTAAAATAAACAGGAGAGCATAAGGGTTTTCAACAATAAAGTTAGTAGATAGACTGAACGGTCGATTTAAACAAAAAACATATGGGAAATCGACAACCATCTACCTAAACCCCAGAAAGGTGGCGAGGTAGACAATTCGGTGGCAATTTCGCCACTGGCGGTTCAGTAAGTAGACATAACTCGTTTAGAGAACAATTCACTCGGGTTTACTTTTGTGGCGTCTTCTATTGTGGCGTCGGTGTAGCACGATTATCATATTTCTAGGTGACAATAATAGAAATCACGTGTCAGTGATGTTCTGTTGGTAATGTGGGGAGATTTGGAAAATTCTTTGTTGCAATGAAGTCAATAAGTGCTGGAAACTCAAGCGACACAGTGTGGCTTGTTCATTCTTATTGGGAATCATCACTGGTGTGCATACTGCGAAACTCCAGATGGCTTCAAACTCGCGGCTAGTAGTTTGATCACTTAACTGTTCGGCCGCGAACTGCTGATCAGCAGTGTGATTGTCTGCCACTCAGACGCCACTCTTCCATCACGGAATCCGCATCACGTGGTCACATTCATTGGCTACTCAAATGACGATTTCTAGAGTGGGAGTTTTATTCACGTTGTGAAGTTCTTGTCCCACTTTTAAATTGACGATAGTGTATAGTTTTGGGAATTTTCATCTTAAATTGTATTGAGCAACCTACTGAATTTTCCGTGGGAATTTCTAAACTAATACGTCCCTCATAAGCTGTTACTTCTGATCGGGCAATAAAAACAACTCAACACTCATGACCTGTATCCGAAAATCGAGTTCACTTCAGTCCATTTTGGTCCATTTTGACAAGCACAACAGCCTACTTGTTTGGGATGTAGTGTGGTAGTGTAGGTCCTTGCGTCACCTTGTGACCGAAGGTACTTGGAAAGTAAACACCAATTTCAACTTAAAATTGACTGACCAAGTCTACACAGAGGTTATCGGAGTCTGGAGAAACTTGTCGTAGGTAACCATCAAACCTTCACTTGAAATGCGTACTGAATTAGTTATTTTATTTATCTTCCCGAAACCATCACACGACCCTGGCATGTCCCCGAAAGTGATGGAAATGAAAAAGCTTCTAATGCATTAGCCAATTTGTGGTGCTAATAAAAATTTATATTTGGGACCAGGTGAGTAAAATAGCATATAATACTGATGAAACCCGCGAGTAATATCCTACACAGTTTAAAGCAATATATCCGCAACCATTTGACAGTTGGACCAAATATTATTGGATCGTTCGAAATCATCCCCTAACTGACATCAAATATGTAACAAAGGCTCCAGGGAGGTCGCGAATACGCCTGAGGATATTTGGTTTCTCAAACTCTATGAGAGTGAGTTTTTCAGTTTCACGTCCCACTGCTCTCAACCAGTCCGTGTTTCACAATACACGTCTGCACATCTGAAAGCGTCTTGTATGCACTGGCCAAGTGAGTTAGTGTTTTTATCGTTGCCACCGTGACGAGAATGGGCGAGTTCTACGGTGCTACTTATGGCTGTAGTGGGCTGGTTCACCCTTCCTTAAGCTTGTGTGAGCTCGAGATGGCTCAGTGGTTACTGCGCAAACTAAATGAATGGATGCTCCATTGTTCACACCCGACCCCGGCATTTTGATTACTCCTGTACAGACTCGGGCAACCTGGCGGAACTTCAGCCCTCGCAATTTTTCCGAGTGGCACGGCTGGTAGGCCCCGGAAAGGTTTAACAGATGAGTGATTATTTCATTACGATTCAGGGCTGATACCCACAGATATAACGTGATTTGATGCAAACCCATATTTGGTTTATTTTACTTTGGCAGTCTCTTCGTCTCAGATTGTGACCTCTCAGACACGATAGCCGGTTATGAGGCTTTCGATATATTCGTTGGATGTTGACACGGTTGGGATGACCCTAGACGCAAAATCAGTCCCTCCACCTTCCGTACGACAGAATTGACCTCCTTAGGTCAAAAAAGTACTAAGCAAGCTTAGACCACCGAGTAATCTTGAAAAAAAAAACGGTTTTCAGGACGTAGAAATGATACTAATGAAGAAGCGTTTAAAGTGCCACAAAATCATGGAACCACTCTATTGGGCAGCATAGAACTGAACAACAGGTTATCAATAAGATGACTATGAGATGCACATAGAGTGGTGCTTCACAGAACTACTTACTTTCGGACGAATGCTTCCTGAAACAGAATTCTTCAGCTCCAGAAATATCTCGGGTAAAAGCTGTCCAGGCAGAGCGATCAGCTGCAATATCTTAACGAGTCTCACTCAGGTATCGGGTGACGGACCTATTGATCACTTGAGTCCAATCTTTCTGAAGTTTAAGAACATCTATGTGGTAGATGATCACCTCTATTAAAGACCACTGGGATGAAGCATACTGGTGCCACATGTGGAGGAATAAATTACCGTTTCATCGGAGATTTTTATCCTGCGGTCTAGCCATTCTATGCTGAAAAATAAATCCTACTCGAGAGCTAACAACACTTCTAGTCAGCCGCTCGTGACCAATCGATTAAGTGTTCAACCAGTGACGGAAGGTCGTGGGTTCGAATCTCTCTGAGTTTCGTGAGATGCGAACTGCTTACGTTTCCCAACAAGGATGAAATAGTTGTACAATGCTTTTCAGCAAAAATAACGATTGAAAGTTACAAAACCTTGCCACACTACCATTAAACCACTGTTTTTCATTAGCCTTGGAAGCATCAGATTGCCCACAGTCTCGAATACCGAATCGACGGAGCCAGCTACGTGTGCGGAGTTCCTTGTGTTCAGACAGATTTGATTTAATGCGAGCAAAACATGACGAGCTTGGAAAATTTGATTATCTACTGTTCAGTTATTCTATTTTCCAGAACCTTCGCTTTCTTACTAGAGGACCACGAGAAATGCACCCTACTGTGTCCAAGTTTGATCACATGAAAGAGTGTAAAGTATGAGGCTGTTTGTGGAGTTGGTGTGAAGTCAGTATGAGAACGTAGGACAAACCATGACCTAGCCGGCCTGTCAGTCATATCAGAACAAATACAATAAATAAATCTTGAGTTTTTCCATGGATGAATTGAATGGCTTTTGAGAAACATGCGTCCTAGTGACTAATTAGTGTGACAAGTGGGTAAATTTTGCAATGTTATCGACCATATAGAGTCATACCAAATGTAATGGTAAATTTGATTTCGGGTCCAGTGGGATTATCATTCTGATACTTCATGGTGGAGGGTATAGTTGTCATTTCAGAAACCAATTATAATTCTTCTGTACAATTCTGGATGTTCCTTGTGCCAAGACTAAAAATTTTGTACCACCAAAGCTGCTTCCCTCTATTGCGTGTCCTCACGATGGGAGCACTGTACTTACTGTTTACGTACAAAGAACCAGATGTACGGCATGAAATACAAGATTGTGCGATTTTTTATTGGGACTGCGCTTCCTGATTATGAAATATTTCACGCCGTATCATAGATTAGATCCTACTGAAAAGGAGACACCCAGTTCATACAGATTTGAACATCATATGTAGGATCCAGACTTAAACGAGACAAAACAAACGTCTTTTCTTTTTGCCACTCCGTACAAATTACTGTTTAGATTCTCTCCTAGTTTTAAAACCCTAAATATACTTTCGTTGAAATGGCTAGTTAGCGAAGCGTATACGTGTGATTCCACTATCACCTTCATTTATTTTTCACAGGTCACATACCCAATTCCATTGTGCGGCAGTTTCTTAAGCCAGAGCCCGTTCACATTGAGGTAAGTCAGTGGAGTCGCTTCCTTCGGTGGTGAACCAGAATAAGTGCATTATCATCAGCTTTCGGTTCGTTGCTAGTGGTACGAAAGACGTAGTGTCCCCTAGTGGGTCTGCTTGGGGGAAACTGGAGCGTGCACAAGCACAGCTGGATCAGTAGGCCGAAATCTGGTTACAAGAAATTGTTTGAAGGAGGGTTTTCAAAGCATCGGTGAAACTGCTGAAATTTCCCAGACTCCTCATATCTTTAGATTACAAAAATTTGCCACTCTCATTTAATACCTTAATCATACGAGCGTGCTGATGTTTTTGCCATTAGTTGTTGTCGTAAGATAGGTGAAAATGAGCCGATGAGGAGCGCTCCTCATACGGGGAGGTTTTTCCCTTCGTTTGTCGCTAAAATCTGCGAAACAATTAATGAAATCCCGCTGAACTGGACAAGAATAGGGGGACGATCCCCAGCATAGAGCCTGTGTTACACTGTAGACATAGTTATTCTACTCACCTTACCGAATTACTCATTACTACTCGTGAACTTGTAGATGAGATTCCATGTTGTTAGTACGCTTAGGCAGTGTTGTCTTTTGATAAAAGAGTATGAAAACACCGCCAGGTAAATAGTAATCATGCCCAAGAGCTTCCACTGCGTCTGAGGTCGTCGCTGTTGTTGGGCTGTTATTTTAGGGCTTTTTATAGTGGCGGATTATCGGATGTACGGAAAACAACTATCTGCATTTTCATTAAGAGTATGTTTACAAGTCGATGCAAACGTGTAAGTGTTTACCCCCGAAGTTTCTTTTGATGTGATCTTTGTAAGGAGGGACAAATACCTGTGGTGAACACTACAGGCCAAACTATTGGTTCTACTGGGAAATCCGGAGCATCATAAAACCGGTCAAAAACCAGTCATTTCTTTAGGTTTGGTACAGCAACTGAACTGATAGTAGAATTAATCTTTGTTGCAAGCATTTCAACCCTGAAAGAAACCCTTTTGGATGACCAAAAATTTGAATAAGAAAATCAGTATGGGATCATACAAAGCGGCTTCGCTGACTTTTTAAATGAAATACATGTACCCTTTTATACCGTCAGTTTTTAATTGATCTGAGATTCAACTATTGGGATATGGTGCACACTAGCCCATGAACGCGATCCACATGAAGCACTTGATCGTGGGATGAACAGTTCGTACGCATGCACCACGTGTATAACTCGTTCTCCAGTCCAATAAGTCAATGGGTTTTCAATTGACCGGTGATTCGCTTACTTCTGACAGCTTGCACTCCATATCAGAATGATAAGAACGAATGATAAGAATGATAAGAACTCCTGTCGTCTTTCTTCTAGTGGCCGGTTTCTCTGGAGAGAAACTGACCACAAGATCGTCACTGACAGCGGTTGGAAGCCATATTTGGCAGCGTCTCCAAGCAGGTGCAGTAAAGATCAAGCGATCCCCATCCTGGAAGGTGAGTAGAACCGACAGTACCCAAGCGTTTCAAATTCTCCTCTATACTCCTCTACCAGGTCAAGGGTTGGCTACCTCTCTGCTTCCGCCATTCATACCCCTCTACCAGATCAAGGATTGGCCACCTTTCTGCTTACGCCAGTCTGGGTTGGGCATGGAAAACAGTACTCCCTTCGGCAAACGATGGTTTGGCATGCGTAAAACATGTCCCAACCAACGCAGCTTCTGGTACTAGACACATTCTTCAATGAAGTACCCGTTGCACAACCGAAAACTCGCTTTCTAACTGCTTCGTTACGGATTCGCTGACAGCAACCAACGCGAGTTATATTTCCGAGATAACGATTGCCGAACACCTGAAGACGTCTTAGTTCCGCTGCTCGATGAGGGCCGATTCTCACAGCCATACAGCAAAACAGCCCGCACTGTAGTTTGAGACATGCGTCCCTTGAGATTCACGGATGCACTACTTTGACCCCATAGGTGTCTCAAATTAGCAGACGCGACCCGAGCCTTGCGGATTCGTGCATTGACCTTATCTGTGACACTACAGTCAGTCTGGAAAGGAGACTCAAAGTGGAACGCTACCGTATTAATTTAAACGCATAATTCCATTACTATTCACTCCGTCAGAGTTCAGCTCCTTTTCATACTTATGTTTGCTAAAACGATTCACCGTTCACTGATAGTTGCATGAGTAACAGATGAGCTGATGGTTTGCACTGATTAAACTAGTATTTTCAAAGAAGCACGTTATGCAGCAGGCCATACTCTCAAGTTTTACAGTTAGGCAGAGGTGGAAAAAATGTTTTTTGGCTAAACTCGATTTGGTTTTCAAACAATTAGGGTTTTGATGCAGTCTCAAGTAGCAGTTTTATTTCAAATATCGGAATGTGCCACACAGCTCCAGTGTCATGATAGCGAGAAGGAAGCAAAACCTTATTTACATTCTCCCTGCTTATACTATCGTTTTCTGCTGCAGGATTTCAGGATAGGGTTTTGCAAGGAGAACAGGCATTTAACCCGCAATAAAAATGTTCAGTGCATGCCATCTGGAAACCCTGGGACGTTTCTTCTTACTGGACTACAATGGTTTAAGTCAGGACCTTGTGTTTGTTGTACTTAAGAGGCCGTCATCTGATGGTCGGATGATTCATCAGTCTCCTGTACACTGCATATGCACGTTCTTATGTCCATATTGACACCTTCCCTTGCCTTGTTCTGAACACTGCGCAAGATCAAACGTATGCCCGTGTAGGATTTTGGAGTTTTCATTCTCACTCAAGCCAGTCAGAAGAGAATAAATATTTGCACATCGTTCTTCAGTTAACTAATTTTCTCCGCAAATATTACCATTCCAAGATGAGAAGGAGATTCGACCACCCAGGTTTCATTCTATAATATGTCTACAAAGGTTCAGTGTATGGAGGGTTAACTAATAATCGAACGTTTTTCAGCGAACCGAACGATACTTGATGCTGTTTCCCTGAGGTCGGTAGATATGCCAGAATGGTTTACACAAGAATCACTTCTATCACCACTGGCTGCCTTAACTACCTTCTCATCTTGGTCATTTGTGTCACAAAAATACATGTGATGGGCGAAACATCATTTTTCCAGGTGAATTGCGCTTCCTGATCCAGACCTGATGCGGGATTAATAAGGACCATAGATACAGTCGTACTGTGAATGGATTCAAAACCTGCTGATTGCTACCAGGTTAGTAATAAGTTTTCCCCGGTACGTGTATACTCGGTGGGCAACATGGATGTTGGTTCATGAAAAAGTTTGAAGCTGAAAATACACTCGACACTACGTTTTCGTAAATTGTGATAAACTGGTAGGGAGCTATAGACCAACTTTTTCTGTCAAACAGCCTCTTGAAAATAGTGGAAGTTTGGAACAGATGTGTGATCTGTGGCAAATCAACTGCTAAATTGAAACAATTTAACGTTCGTGAACCTCCTAAACGATCTGTTGGTGACGTATGACACGATTCAACGCGTTTTTTACCAACAATCCTCAGGACAGATTGGCCAATCATATGACTTGATTGCACACTTTCAATGGCCTCCAAAATTTTCCCGAGTTTGCCGCCCTGATCATTTTTTGGAGGTAACTTTGCAACAAGTAGAATAACCGAGTTTACATGGAACCGAGGAGGCCACTCAATAGTTATGACGGATTACGGATATTTGTAAATGAAAATCTGTTGCTGTCTTCCCTGTTCACTAGTTACTTCCTGGCTTAGCTGAGAGAAAAATCGACTCACCGACCGTCAATACCCAAAATATGAACTGTATTCAGGTAGCAAGGCTTCTTCGTCCTTAGGGTATCGGATATCCCTGAATGAAACTTCGCAAACCCAGTGCCGTCCAGCACGGCAGGTCAAATCTGTGGGTGATCATTCCTCGCAGAAGAGAAAAATGCTTGTTTGAAAATGAAATAAGTAATTTTCCGCTAACAACTTTTTATTTATTTGTGTCGATAGTAAAACTACCGCAAAATTATCGATTACCCGGTGCATGTGAAGAATGGATCAGTTACCCTACCCACAAGCAGCTAAACTGGCTGAAAAGTAGGGTACAGTATTACAGACTTTGGGGACAAAGTTCATGAGAGTATACTGTTTTCATTTTCACATTTTTTCCTCTAATCCCTCAAGAAATCCGAGCAGGCAATGACTGAGGCAACCAGTCAGCGCGCACATTTGGAACAGCTCATCAACCGCTACCTGGTGAGTGAAAGAATTCGACTGTTGGATAGTGGCGTTGCATTTTTTTGGAAATTTGATACTACTATATATTTGGAATTGGTAGATGCAAGTTTCTGAAAAAAAATGTTGCAACCGAAGGTAATGGAATGGATTTTCAGTGACAATTTTATTTATACTGGCCTCCTGATGATCAGCATCAACAGCATAACATCTGTGTTTAACACCGATGCTTCGCTGCCGTAGTTTAACTATATTACTTTCATTCTAACTAAATGTGTGTTCGGAATAAAGGATGTGATTTACCTTAGTCCAAATCTGCTTTGTTCTTACTTATAATTTCCGTAGGGGTGTAACCTTTTAAGGAGACTCAAGTGTCCACACACAATAGATTTAGGTGGCGAACCAAAACTAGCGGTTTGCACCAAGGATGAAATCACAGGGCGCTTAGTCTCTGTCGAAGGTTCCCTACCACTTGAAAGTTCAGCACTCGACTGTGAAGTGAAGTTGCGGTTAAAAAAGGACCAGAATATGCCCACAAAGTTGACTTCATAAAGTTTATTCGATGGAAAGAATATCGAGGACTCGAGTGTTGAGGGACACTTGTGCACCCACGTAAGTTACAATTTGTGCCAGGGTGCAATTACACAAGCGGTCTAAACTGGTGAGCGGTAATTTAGCTTACTGGTTCCTTCCAACTGCTCCTGTTCTGTCGCTGCTTCTGTCCTTGTCAGCCTTCTTTTTTGCATCACTTATGGTCGCTGACCCACTTGCAACCACTTGGCTTCGGTCCTGAACGTGCGTCATAAACCTGCCGGACCGTACCCTTCACTGCACTGCTTAGCCTAGGATGCTGCTTCACCCTGTTTTGCCTTATATGCGCTCCAAACAATGAGCTACTTTTTGTGTCCCTCACAATGGTTCGTTCATCAGTGCTTATTGCACGGCGGGCGCCCGTGTAACAGTAACCCTTGGCTGCCGATCATGTACAACAGTTTTATCATACTACTTTGAAAACTGTTCGAGTCAGACGATCCGTATCAGCCGTCTGTTTTTTGTTGTGTCCTATTATAATACTGCAGAATTTGAGATCGCTTAGGTCTGTCATAAGCGAGGAATACTCATGAGTTTAATCTGCGAATTAGTGTATAGTTTCACGTACGAAGATTTTAGTGTCCTACTATGGAATTAAGGTGAAAACAGGGAGGCCACGACTACTTGATGAGCCTTAAGAAGGGCTACACTGATAGCGAGCTGTTGAAGAATGCTCAAAGACCCTATTGGTGTAACGGCGGATACTACTGATAAGGCATTCGGGTGGTCTGCGGTTTTCTCGAAGCTCCACCTCACGTCTAACGGAAGGTGAACTTTATTACGGAACTTGTAGAACTCCTTCGAAGTGTTCGCTTACCATTGCGTGATAGTCAATGGATGTCCATGAAAGTTTAAGAAGACGCGTGAGAATGTTCAGTTTTTTAGAATTATGTGCATATGAGATGCTTACTTCCCTGTTCAATAGTTTATAACTGCTTAGTTGGTGTTTGCTAATAAGCGACTTCGCAGAGAAGGGCCTTCATGTTAGTAAAATAATTCGATATCTTGAATATCGTCCCAGCTGACAGATTACGGGTCTTTCTACAGAAAATTCGTATCGAGAATGCCTTCACTGCAAACCCGAACTTGTTAAATAACTATCCCTTTCCTTTCTTCTCTAGTCTGACGAACGTACCAGAGACACACTCTCCTCTATCACCTTCCTCAAAGATGTCGCGCTGTTACGCGTGGCTACATCAACTGGAGGGGTAGAGAAAATCCGGAACGAGCTGATGACCAGCCTGGCCATTGAGGTTGAGGGACTTTTGGAGCGGCCTTGCGAACAAGTAGTTGATGAAGACTCACTGGATGAAGATGAAGCCGCACGAATGGAAAAGTCGGCAGAACTTCACAAAGCTGCAAGGCAGTTTGCAAAACAGGCAGTTCAGAAGCACTTTGAGCAAAAAAGTAGATATCATTTGTTCGGAGTTCTTGATTTTTTAAAAATTGTTTATCTACAGAATTGTGTAAATAAAAAAAGATACATTCGTCCATTCATTATTGTATAGCTTAAAACCTGGTTAGAGTGATCCATTTTTCAAAAGATTCGCCATTCTGGGACCTACCTATGCCACAGTCTCATGTGAACAGTCGAACCTCCAGGTGCAAGTTCATTTATTTTGTAGAAAAATTTCAATTATTTTCATACTTCACATTGTTGTCTCGTCATTTGTTCTGACTTGATACATAATTCCCTCTCAGTGGGGAATGAGCACTAGGGACCGAAATACCCATTTTCGTGAATTCTCATTATTTCCAGCAAGTATTTTTCAACCTTCTCTAGGATTCTGGAATAGCGCTTTGTTTGTTGGTTATCATTCACTTTCTCCCCTCCATTTGAAATGTCTGGTTGGCTATCCACAGATCTATGTCAGATAAATGATACATCAACGGTATGCTAGTAAACATGAAGTCCATGATACGGTATAGTTGGCATAACGTTCATCTGTCTCAAGCCCCGTAGAGCAAGTGTAATCCAATTGCTGATGCCGAGGAACTGCTGAAACTATTTTGAAACACCGGAGCTTTGTTAGTGTTCTACGTCTAATCAGGCTGTATCTATGATTAAGATTGGAAATTTTACTAGGAGTAATCCGAGTGTGGACTTATTCACTTGTGTCCTATTTGGAGCAAGAAGTACGTGCTTCGGCTTATTTTTATCGGCACAATAATTAAGCCGGCGTAGTGTCGTTTTCCTAATTGAATAGCTGTGAATTCATAGCCTACCCTACATTTGTCAATGCTTTTCAAGTTTCCGTCCATAGTTATTCGAAGTAAGCATATCGTTTTATGACAAGGAGCCCAGATAATCGGACAAAAGCTTGTTCACCCACACATCCGAGCAAAGGTGGTGGGACATCTTAGTTCATATGCGGTGATCATGTGTGAACCCGAGCCACTGAAGCTTAATTACTGGCCACATAACGAGTTGTAAGCAAACCATCACCGATTGGAAATGCTAGTAGCATTAATTAGAATCAGCGGACCAAAAAGGGATGGGGCAACTTCTCGTAATGAGTTATACGGATCATGGGATCGATCACTCCTTTCTCGCTTGTCAACTTCGATTCACAATCTCATGGGCAACTACTAAGAATTTTTAACAGGTGTAACCAGTAGAGCAAATCAAACTTCGAAACAAACTAGACGGAAGTCAGGAGTCGTACCAAATAGTCTAAGGGGATCAAAACTACCAAATTTCCCGGTCCACTTTGGATCTCATGAATCAAACGAGAAGGATGGATTATTTGAAATAGAGAAAATTGCCGTATTCAGGCTAGGGTTGCTTGGAGGGGCAGTGTATATTACATTTCAATTCCCCACAACATGAAGTTGTCTGTGACCAGGGGACAACTCTGAATATCAGGTGTTCACTAGCAAGGTCCTGCTTGATCCAGACGAATTCGTATCAGTCAGTGCTGAGGCGTTCGGTGAATAGCTCCGTGAAATCAACTGCACATTTTCCACTTGATAATATGCAATGCAGCAAGCCGTGAGTAGTATACAAAAGGGTGTTGAATTCGTCAACAGAGATAAGTTTATTTAATTTCCTTTCCATTTTCTCCTAGAGAAAAATGAGTTGGCTGAGAGCAATTCCAAATCATCACTGTCTGTGAATAGCGAACAGCAGCAGGGTTTCGGTTCCATTATTTGTTGCCGTAGAACACCTGCAGATCCAGTAGTTTGTCGTCTGTCTTCACTGCTGACAGCCAAACCTTACACACCTACTTGACTTGCTGAAGAGCCATAGTAAACGCGCCATCACATAGGATTACAATTATTGTCAAGATATAAAGCAAAAGTGGCCTCATCAGTTGCTCAGTTCTAAATGCGTATAACGCCTCTATTTGGATACCGTTGAAGAGATGATTCACCCTCTATAGATGAACTGATCACAGTGCATCGGTTGCGCTGGCTTGGCCACGTGCTGCATATGCCAGTCGACCGACTTCCTCGAAGGGCCCTTTTCGCACAACCACGTGAAGGGTGGAAGAGAGCCAGAGGCGGTCAAACAATGACTTGGCAGCGAAGTGTGAAGGCCATTACCAGGAAACTCAGATGCTCTGGTCGTTTCCGTCTTCCTGGATGGGGATCCCAAGACGGGCCACATCAGTGGTTGGAGACATTGTCAGACATAGCCCAGTCGCGCCCTCAATGGCGCTCATGCATCCAAGCTATCGCCTTCAATGCATAGCTCCCTTCCCAATCCCCCCAATTAACAGTCCACCTACAGTGCTGTAGTTACGCGTTAATTTATCACTTTTCGCCCCCCACTGCGCGGCTACCTACTCCACCTACCCGAATCATCGGTGAACGAAACTGTGTCAGCTACAACCACTGTACGACAAGTACGCGATTATTACAGCTGATTTACAAAATACCATGTTTCGCCCTACCCTCCGTTATATACTGTCCGCAAACACAGGGCTAACTTTTATCTTGATGGAATGCTCCAGCCCCTATTCATAGCGGCAATGTGCCACTCTGTTTTTCAATAGGAATGATCCAAGTCGTTCTTCCTGAGTCAAGACTAGCCGACTCAGATTCCGTGTTGTTGGCATTCATTTGACCCTTTTCTAAATCCTAAACTTCATTTGCTTTTCTTCTATCCGCAGTTAAACAAGCCTTACAAAAACATGGGGGAGAACGAAAGCTAGATGAAGAGGATTCCTTTGTAGAAGAAGTGGACATGGAAGATAAAGAGCCATCGCCCGTAAAAAGTGGGCTCTCACCAACAAATTACCGCCAAGAAGAGGATTTAATCGACCGTATTGCAAAAGACCACACCCAAGCTATTCAGGAGCGCAGACGTGTTGAGGTGGAACGTACACTACCCTTCGATTTTGTCAAAAACACATTAGAAAAGCTTTCCCAGGAATGGGGTGGAATGGCGCAAGTAATGGAAGTTATATTCAGTGCAGTTCACAGAAACCAAGATGCCTTGGACAAATTGGACGGGTTCCTAAAAAGTCGTGAAGCACGGGTCGGTATGATTAATAGTGTTGTCAGTCCAACTTGGGCTATGGTTTATTTGGGGATAATGCTTGGAACGGACCGTCTTGTGATTAAACAGCTGGATATACTAAGCGATCCCGCCACAACCCCTGAAATACAGACCGGTGCAATGGCCCAACTGATTAATTATCTTGGAACTGCCCCTCGGATGGAAGCTTTCCTCAAGGAATTCCAAGCTGCTCGAAATCTGCTGGAAGTTGCACTGACTGCTCGTGGAATCCCAAAGGAGGTCGCGAAGAATTTGCTCAATGAAGCGCTCTCGGGTAACAATGATGCGAAAAATCGCGTCGGCAGCTGGTTGAAAATTGAGAAGTTGGATGAACTACTAAATGCAGTTAGGATGTGTAACAAGGACAAATGTGCAATGCTTTTGAATGAGTTAGATGCTGTCAGAAGGGATTTGCAGCACCGGCGCTCTGAAGAAGTACCAGACATGAGTGCATTGTCTGCAGACGCCAGCTTGCTGGCTCAATTAGATGAAGATGCGAAACGAGTGATGCAGTATGACGGAATCCAGGAAGTAGATGAAGATGAATTGGTTCAGAAAAAATCATCTCCGAGGGCGCAGGTACCTAAACGTGCTGATCAGATTGGTCCCGTGACTAGTGAATTGAGTGCATCGGTGAAGGACAGCGGATCTGTAAGCTCAGTTCCGACTTCACCAGAGAAATCGGGACCAAAAGCTAAAGGCTGGAAGGGAGAACACGATGAAGACGAAGAAGAGGAGGATTATGACGCCGAATTTTCATCCGGAAAGTTTTCGGTATGTGTTTAAATATGTCGGTGTTTGGATTTAATTTGGAAAGTTCACAATGGCCACGCTTTTGTGAACTTAGTATGTACACCATTCGGCGAGAATGCACGTAGGCCACTCAAACACTGACTTAGACATGATGAGTGTCAAGTTCGTGAGGGAACTCGAAACCATATCCAAATGGTTACTTGACAGACCTTAGCTAAATGCCTGCTGAAAAATCGTCAACTGATTCTGAGACATAGCAAAAAGGGGTCTACTACATGTTATACTCATGCAGTCATTCGGTTTCTTGATCGTGCAGCCATTACACAAATGGTCGGGATAACAGGCAAACACGGTGCAAAGAGGAATCTGACCATATCTCTCAGTTTTGAATGCGTTGTTCATTTATTCTTCGAGTAATGACACCGAATGAATAGGTCAGGCCTCGCCTAGCCAAAGGAATTTGTCGGAATTTTGTCCAAACCTAGAGCTTACCTTCATGTAGGTTTCATCACCTGAATAGATAAATGTGACTGTTTATGGTGCATCGAAACTTCCACGAATACACTTCTGTTGTTGTTAATACCGCCATGAGGAGGAGAGAAAAAATCACAAACGAATGGTCTAGCGTATGTAGATGAGGCTAACAGAGCAATAATCATCATCATCATCATTGTCAGCTGTAAGAACCGCGAGACATGATAAATCAATGGTACGTTATGGTCAAGGTAACCTACCGGCCAGACTGAAGCGTTCAGCTGTAGCACCCTTCCGGTGCCTAGCTGCCATGCCACCCGAAGGAAGCACGAGGGCTGGGATACTGCCAGGTTGCCCAAGCCTAGACAGGGGAAGTCGAGTGGCGGAGGTCGGATTCGAACCGCGAACCTTCAGGTTAGTAATCCGCGCTCTAACCACTTCGGCCATCTCGCCAGACTGAAGCGGGCGATGCAATAAATGTCTCACGGAATGAAAACACACAGAGAAATACAAGTACAGACCGTGATAGTTCGCCGTTAAAATCTACATGACCGCGCTCTGTCGTCTCTTGTAGGGTAAACAGAATTAATATGAACAAATACGGGGCAAATCAGTGCGCTAAACTGTGTTAAAAGTATCTCCGGTGATCCGCGGTTTCCTGTCAGTGAACTTCTGCTTCAATTATTGGTTGAACACTATGCCCAACAAACAGTAGCGACTGATCACCATCTTGATACTACTTTTTTAATAACACAGTAGGGAGAAGACATTTCCATTCAGCCGCAATACGAAAAGCCACCAATTTTACATGATAAATAGGAATAAACAGTGAGAAAGCAATAGATCAGAGTCGATCATACAGTGAGCTAATCAGGTCTGGCTCTTTAATCCGAGGCAATAGCTTGCGCTAAGGTCACTGGTGCGTACAAGATGGATCCTTTTTGAGTGTCTAACATAGCCTAACTGACAGCCAGAAGTTCCGAACTGACATTGCGTAGTAAAATTCTGAGAGCTGAAATGGCGTCCAGTAGATAGTGTGTTAGGCGATCGACGGGGTAGATCTTCCGGTCTCAACTTATGAGCGATCCGTCGATCGACTGGTCACCAGACTTAAATAAGGAGGTAAATATTCTGAGCCGCGTCTGCATAAACTCCTATCTCTTCTGGGAACACGTCTCAACGCGAATACATGTGAACTGGTACGCAACTTATGAGGTGGAGTGTGCACTTGGGCAACCTGCCAATATCCCTCTTGCTTCCTTCAAGTGGCTTGGCAGCTAGACGCCGAAAGGACGTTAGAGCCATCGAAAAATAGAAAGCAGTAAACAAAACTTATGCTGTAACTCCAGTGGTCGCTTTCAACTGAGTGCGCGCTTGCCTGCTGAGCTATAAACAGAGAGGAACCAACGCCGGGCTATTCAAGAATTTTCATCAATCTTACGAGTAGAGTGTTATTAGAAAATACTTCGATATTTTGACCAAACTCCCGCCAAGGACCTTTGGCGTTGACAGTTCCTTGGTCTGCAGAACGAATTTGCATCTCTGGATAATGGATCAATCTTAGTCACGGAATCATCTGATATGGTATACAAGTGAAGACCGCTATAGCGGGATTTTGGTAAATGCGACATAGATGAATCGGAAGCCCCGTACAAGTGAAAATATCAGAACTGACTTCAACTCAATGACACGCCAGGAATCAATCCACAGCAAGTCACTCATAAGGCTGATGAAGACATTAAAAATCTTAAAAAGGTTTTCGCCTGAAAGAAAATATGTCATTATCTTGAATACACTCCAAAAGAAACGTGAGGCAGCCGTTGTGTTACATGTCTAGTGGGATAATATCTCAAAACTAGAGATTCAATCTGATATCCTGTTAGCGCCATCTTAATTTGCAAATGAGTGTCCAAGTCTATACCTGTCCTCATTTCAGTAGTAGTTATGCGAGAGGCGTTGAAATCGTTTTTCATGGGTTACGTTATACAACTTTACCGCTCTTCATTGTAAACGATTGCGTTTTGCTTTACAGCCCAGTGTGTTTAGTCTCTTTCCACGGTGTGAACTGTAAATCGAGACGCCAGGACTTAGTTTGAACTGCTGTTGGGGGAATGAGCCAGCTTTAGTATGCTTAAGTGGGTGTCGTGCAAGTATTTGCCTTCTATCGTTTGCTACTATCGCAAGGGAGCTTCAGCGGGTATCGCCTCAAACCGCTGTATGAACATCCAACCTGCATTCGTATGCATTCCAGTAGCTGCGTGGTTTGTGTACATTCTGTGGCGAGTGATGCAGTCTCACATACAATCAAAGCGCACGATAAGAGAGGTGAGTAGGAGATAATTGTGGAAATGAACTTAGTTGGATGGTATGACTGTTGCTTAGCCTGAACACCTAGCCCCCGTTGTCTACGACATGCGTCATAAAATGGTGAACACTCGATTCCTGATTTTTTCTCGATTTTGAGAAATGACAAAGCGAACTAGGTTGCCTCAAATTCATGCATTTATCGTAATTGTCTGATATCCCCGGTCATTCTAGAGAGGACTGGACGAATACACAAGAGCATCCATAAGAATGACAGTTTTAGAAACAGACTATGACGACAGGGTCATGCCAGGTCGCGCCATGCATGGTGGATTACTAACGCGCACCCATCAGAAGCCAAGAATGTCCGAGAAGCCACGGCGATCGACCACAAGGCTCACGGGGCTAAAAGGTGCTTATGGTCAGCTTGATGAAACAGCTGCACGGGAAGGTGCCATGCGTCGTAGGAAGTCGAGCAAATCAAGGAAGAAGGAGCAGCAAGAGATGGATGAAGATACATCTGATCATGAAGACACACACATGGATACCTTGGACGGAGAACTGTTTATGTCCGACGAGGATACCGATGAACTACTCAAAGCAATGGAAAATGAGATGGGAGCTGTTGTCTCACCCGGAGTTGGTGTAGCTGAGGAAAGTGTAACAGAAGTTAGTGGGTCTCAGCCGGCACGTTATCCCGATCCAGCTTTTGAACATGGTCATGTTAGACGTTTTGAAGCCCATCCAACCGACCTTAGTGAGTACAATTCATTGTGCTTCGCAGTATAGATGCTAAGACATAAAGTTAGGGTGATACACATCAGAATAGGTTTTTAGATCCTATTAGATATACTTGGATATACTTGCGGAGAATTCATTTGTTATAAAGCCATGTTGACTGGGTCGTACCCGGTGCGAGTACTTGTAGTAAATCATACTTTGCTTATTTGTGCACATAAATTTCGATTGATTTCAATGACAAACTTCAAATTCCTTTCTGTATCGAGGGGCAGGACTACTTTAAAAGGCATGCTTGACTTGAAACGATGAGACAGAGAGCTGTCAGGTACATAAAACAAGGTGAATTATGTATCACATAGCTTCGGTTAAGAGAGGAGAAGAGGTATTCTGACCGCTAAAGACGGGGTGATATCTCTTCAGGAGGAGCATAGCAGAACGTGTTCTTGTTATCAGTTTCTATCCAGATTGCCAGAATGAGCGTCTGGAGGCATGGGCACCTAGAAATGATTGTAACAAGCTAGCCCCAAGTCCCTCCACTGTCTACTTCTATTCTTTTCCGAATAAAAAGGCACTGAAATAGGTCATGGTTGCATGGCAGCGAAGCATCGTTGCTTGAACACTGATGTCGTGATGATGATGATGACGATGATGATGATAACGAAATGCAGCTATCCTGGAATTGGTTGTCCTCCTTCAAAGCGGTTTCTCTTCAGAGGTTGTTTTAGTGGACAACATTTTGCATTCGAAATGGACTAACACAAATAGATAAAACCAATGCTTGTTGAACATGGTGACAACTGAACAAAATCAGGGCAGCCAAGTATTTTAGTTAGAAATTCTAAAATCAATTTTAATGGCATTCCGCGCCAGGAGATAGACTTTTTGTTTTGGACAAGGGACTGGAAGAAACAAAAGTAGTACAGATGATTCAAGCAGACGCAAACGTGTTCTTCGCCCGAAGGCACGAAAAGTTAGGAGTGGCGGCAATAAAACAGAAATGCTCAGGGATACAGAAAAGGACGGAGTAGGGAGGGAAATACCGTCAGATCTGGTGAGATTACTCAGCTGGTCTAGAAACAAGTTTCCTGGTGATGCTCATAACTTCAGGTACACATCAGATGCGCGACAGTCATAACAAAGCGCAATAATATCAGTACGTTTTGCCTTTAGAAGGAAGCAGGTACACGGCTTGGTCGTCCACTTAAGAAGGTACACTAGAGTGCGCAATCTGTCGGGAAAATACACCGTAGATTACATATGTGTCATGCTGAAACCACGTTGCTACGAGCTATGCGTGCCTCAGCTGTCAACTGAGCGATGATAGGTTTGCCGTTGTTGATACGCAACGATCAAACAACACTCGATCCGGAGATATTTACCCTAAATGGCCCGATCCACTGTTATCATTGGATGTAGAAGGATCGGATGAACAACTGCATGGTTAACAGGTTCATAGTGTTTTCAGTGAGACCATGCTCTTGCCGACTGGTTTGTGTAGCCGGTAGATTCCAGCTAGATGGACAGCGCTTTCGTGGTGCGACCATGGCATCGCGGAGATCTCCGGTCTAGTCCTCCAAGACGATAAACAACTATGTAGACAATGCCTTGTGAATGTACAACAATAGTCGGATGGTTATACGAATCATTTGGCAGTTTATCATAGTTAAAATTATCACATCTAATGGGTAATCAATCCTCAATCTCTTTGCTTGTGCAAGTACACATCTTGTCTGTTTTTATCTTTTATCTACAAGACGCTCATTGGTGGACATACCTCAACGAGTGAAAAGCATGTCCGTAACTAAATGACCTCAAGACCCACCAGGAGCTAGGGTATAGACTCCGATGTGGAACCAACTGATTTCTTTTAGTATTCGCTAATAGTGCTTCGGAAACTGAGTCTTGGATGGCTAGGACAACGCTGTGCGTCCTTAACTCATTTTTATGTTTCCGTTTCAGAACACCTAATCACATTCAAGGTGATCGAACCTTATGTAAGTTCCGGCAAAGTATTTGAAAAATCTCGTGTTGAAATTCATTGATCCGTTAATTAGATGTTCGTGAGTTATCTTGTTGGTAGGTTAATCAAGTCTAGCTATGTGGTCGCACACTCAGGTGTTCTCTTCTCTGATATGAACTAGAGTAAATAGGCCGTGACCCCATACTCCATGTCACTTTTAAAATTTTGCCTAACATTTTATTCCATTAGAGAACAAACAGATTTTATTTTTCAAGGTTAGCACTAGGGCTTACCATCACTTAGTTCTGTCCCTTACCAATACGTGACCATGTCTTCGTCTACCGATCCCAGTTAATCAAGTGACATGTATGTTTTACCTGTGGCTTGAATGTTGGTCGAACAGATATTCTTTTTAACCGTGTGTTGTTGAAATGACTGGGCTTCTAGCTATCGAGTTATGTTCTGTTCAGTTACACAGATTGACAACCTACTTTGTTCTAAGTAGGACGCCGTATTTTAGTGATTCGACTGCACCGTGATGCTACACCCACACGGCCAACCCGCCTTAAGTAGTTTATCGTAGAGAAAGTAAGCACACTAGTGTTGCTTTTTTAGGAAAAAGCTGAATATATACCAAAAACCGACAACCAAACTTGTTAGATTCAAACCAATTGTGGTTGACCACTCCGGGAACTCCCCCTTAGTAAAGATGGTCGCGTTGTCACATGCAACAAACATAAGCCGAACAGGTATGTTCTCTGTGGCTTTTTTCAAAAAGACCTTCACTTTGTGGTTTGGGAATGGAAACTTCCCTGTTCCTCGTTTGTCATCCCTCATGATTTGCTACTGATTTACTACCGCCTACCACATTTTTCTATCATTGCCTGTACACCTCATTCCCTCTGGACCTGTGTTGCCTTGTAGAAATACTTTTCAAGTCTGATAGATTCTCGAGGTCACTACTCAGAAATATACCGAAACAAATCAACCGGTCGGTCGCTGGATGACGTATGCGTCTAAACGTCAGTTGACGCAAGAACTACCATGAGATATTTTGTCTTCTGGAGCAGCCATGTGATAACAATCCTAAACATTAATTTCTTACGGGTGATTTGGATGGACCCAGTCACTAATTCATTACCGCAAACAACCGGTTGAACTTCGTTTCAGAGGTTTGGTGCATTTGAAGGATTGCCTTCCGGTTTATAGGACTAGGAACTGTGTATAAAAAATAAATTGTAACGAATGTACGAAGGTTTGTATAGACCAGACAGCCAGGGAATTGTACACCAGAATCGATGAGCATAAGTGGTCCACTAATAGACCACCGAGAAACGTAGATGAATACCAGGTGATAGTCAAAGATTCAGCAATGGCAGGACATGCACTAGACACTGGGCATAGGATATATTTAGAAAATATGGACATCCTGAGACGGGGTTTGAAATTCACACCACAGCGAGTGGTGGCGGAGACGGTGGAAATCACCAAGCATCCCAGCGTAAACAGAGGGGGGTAGAAATTGCGAACATGTGGAGAGCTGTCTTAGAACAGCCGAGATGACACGAGGCGGTGTGCAGTTATCAGCGAAATGGTCTGGGTCCCAATTAACCACCCCCAAAGTAACTGTCCCGGCATACTTTGGCGAACACAGATGAACGAAATCAGTGAACGACCCCAGGAGGAATTTTCCATTAAGGTGCCCTAAACTGAAAAACCAAGGCCGAAAAATCCTAATTAAACATGAAGACAAGTTTTACCCCTTACCAGTCTATCGTAAATATTAGTCATCCCACCAACCAACAATCAGGAACATCAGAGTGAACACCCAGCACTGACCAAGTCGGCTAGTCATAAGAAATCTCACGGATTGGTTCGCTGACTGTCTTAAAATCCAATCAACCTACTTATTTACCCACTTGACCAGACGAAGCTTTTGTGTGAAAAACGAAATGTTGCCCAGCAATAAATCCACCGATTATTTACCAAACATCTCCGAAACGATGACTAACCAATGGGTTCCAAACATTTTCCAATTGATTGAAAACAAGTCGAACTCTCGATTACTTCAAAGGGTCTGATCATACTGCGACCAATGAGTGTGATGTTGCGCACAAACTACTTATCGCAGTTGAGTTTGGGAGATGGAAAGGTTTGGATCTCTTACCGCCAACGTGACTCAGATTGTGAGCTGACATCCTCACCGAACCAGTGCATTTTTCCGGAGAACTTTCAAATGATGGTAAGGACTGCTCCAGCACCTACGAATCGTTCGTGAGACTGGCTGCTGGTGCAAAAGCAATATCGAAGGGGTGATCACATGTTTCTTGAGATCTTCCATAAAAAACAAGAAATCCAAAACACCATACCGACCAAACTGCGTTATTTAAGTGCGGTTAAATGTTACCTAGGCACCTTAATGAATCTGCTATGTTTACTTGGAGGTTAATCTGATTAGAGACCAAGGTATTACGTGCGCGCTGGGTCAAGCTGTGAAACATACTTGTTAGAGCCGGAGAAGAGGTCAGTTGACTACTGGATAGGTATCGTACTGATATTTACACACTGAAGCATCTGTGTGTCTGTGTGTGTGTGTCTGTGTGTCTGGAAATTTTGTGTTTGGAGACGCTGAGCATGGACAATGAACCTCAAATTGAGTTGTATCGGCTACGATACGTGGCTCCAGTTCATTGAAAATGCATTTTTTTTGTCCGGGTCACTCAAACGATCATTGATACTGAATGCTCACAGAGGAGATTCACCCGAGACCGGAAGACACCATTCTTTTGTTATTTTCCCAAACCATCTGTGCAATACAACATCGGTCCGAAATAAAGAGTAACAAAGAAACAGCAGGGCAATAACTGAGGTTCCCGATGCGGAACTTTGAGTGACGCGTAGGTTCAACAATCCCGAGTATCAAAAAGAAGAATTTGGTTCGTAATTCTACGGTACTATTTACGCAAGGGTAAGCAAATGTGTACAACAAACCTCAGTTGTTCACATTCGTAGCGTCGACAAGTTCACAGGTCTGTCACTGACCGACGAAGTGCAGTGTCAACGTCCGCACACCAAACAACGGCGAGCGGAACGATGGCTCAGCAGCGTGGGTTGCGGTCGTTCCTTCCGACAGCGGTCTCGTGATTCTCATTGGACGTGCGATCACACGGAACGTATGAGAAAACAAGCCAAGACAGGCTCAGCACACGGGACATGAACGCACAGGGGTAAGTAGGTCAGCAGCGCACATTCACACAGACACACAGGTCAATACACAAGTGTCGGGAAGGACGGCCTCTGCGGCAAGGTGAGTGGCGGGTTCGAATAAGCAAAGCAACTGGAGATCAAAGGTACATAGACGGAGAAGCAAATGAATGGAGGAATTATCGTAAGGTCAAATTAGATTCAACAATGAGTAACTTTGATGTGGTGGATCTTCGATCCCCCAACCTTGCAGATGACATGCAAGTGAGTAACCAGGGCCGTTTCTGACGTTTTTCATGCACCGTTTTCAGATCATGAGTTCTCAAACTTTTGGTACTTTCAATTCTGAACTGGTTTGAGCACACAACTTAAGGCGGAACAACCGATTGCCTGGCATACGGGGAACATCGCTGAGCCAGCGTAGTGTAGCCGAATCAACGCGTCGATTTGACAAGCAGTGGCTTAGCTGCTAATTTCTGGTGCACGTACTTCATTATTCTCACTCAGCATTCTCATGACGCCACCATGCTCCCATTTGGGTGTGGGAAGCTTGCCTAGTCCGAGGGCGCAGGGAATAAAGCATAACCCTCTGATCCCTCCTAGTGTGACGGCGCCTTTGGAGCGGTGGCAGACGTTAGTTTTATGAGGCCTCGATTGAGTAATGCCTCGACAATCGGGGTCAGTTATTTGGTGACCGTACCTCCTCAAGCGAAGGCAGTATGAAGTCCATAACTACCGGCATGCTAGGCGTTTGGCGGAAACACCTAACTGCTTTCAACCTCCCATAGCAGAGGATCGTACGATTTTATCCATGGACTGCTTCGTAACATGGTTGGTTGCTGCTGTTTGCCTGCTCGCTTTCGTGGTGGCACAGTTGGGACATGAAGATAGAAATTTCGCTGTTTATTCCGTGGGATCATTATGACACTCAGGTCCAACCACCACATCAAGGTGGTAGCTATATACGGATATCTGTATTGTGTTGATTTGGTCACTCTGACTGGCTGTAACTCTTCCGAACTTTTAGCGCGATTTTCTATTCATCCAATCTACACGCTGCATTTTCGAGACCACTCCTTCGCCGGTGTTGTGGATGCGTGACCGATTGGTGGAAACCAGGGGCCCCAGTTTTCCGGTAGAATGACTACTCAGACAACCCACTGGTGCAGCGGAATCAGACGATCAGGACAGCACAACAGCTTCCTGAATCAAAATTTGCGGAACGCCAAGTCAGTGAACAGGAGAAAAGTGGTGTATTCGATTCTAGCTCGCCCAATGAGTGACCAGTAGGTTTTTGCGATCTGCGTCTGCAGTCAGCACTCAACAGCAAACCGTTGGCTGTTCTGCTAGCGTTGGCAGAACACGAAATGTCTGCTGAAACTGCAGAAGTTTGCCGTGGAGTGATGGTGGGCTGACATGCGCTTCCGGAGTGACCTGTCACATTCCGGAAAGTCCGGTATGTTAGTGCGATTCCTTTACGGATAGATGCACGAAATACACATAAATAGGATACGTTTGATCACATCTCAAAACGACTCAATACAACTTATATGAAGTGTATTTGAGACCCAAACTAAAGCCTCTCCGTAGGCCCCTTAGTTTATTGTGGTCGCACAACCAGAGATCTGAGACCACAGATTATGCAAGGGGGTATCTGGTTACCTCAGCCCATACGCACACACGGCTATTTAGCGTTAAACAGTATCCAGCTTTATCTACTTAACGATGGTTACAGAAAATCACTTGTAACACCACTGTTAACCTAAACGGCGGAATTTTCGTGGCACTGAAACAGGACTTTATCGGTTCAGATGGGAACAGTCTGGCAGT